TTGGTGTTTTAGGGGGGCTGGGGACGCTTGGGGAGCTGCGGATATGGCGGCTGGCGCCGTGGCCACAGGTACCTCAGTGGCAACTGCGGGCCCTGCTAAACCCCACACTGCGTCAGGCCACAGATGAAGGAGAGCTCTGGCAAAGCCCCTGGCACATCTTGACACGACACCCGAAGAAAGACATCCCTTAGGCATTGCTGGGCTCTGGATCTTGGACACCTCATACCTGGTCGGACCGTTACTCTGCCTTCCTATGGCCTCACTTCAGCTTCTGTCCAGGACTCGCAGACTCCTGAAGACACAGCGCCAAGCTGGGTGCCTATTCCTGCATCAGGGCTGATGCTCACTGTAGCTCTGCTCACTGCCAGGAGACGTTGGGCTGCCCTTGGCCTGCTCTTCTCCCAATTTCCTCTTCCCCTGGATCTGCAATAAATGTTGTGTTGCATTGTATTGTTGACCTCCTTTTTTACTTTATCCTTCCTCCATTCCCAATACCGCAAGTGGCATCGTGGGTTGCTATGAGCATCCCAGCCAGCTCCTACACAGGGCCTTACTAGAAGCATCTGGAGGAACTGCTTCTCTTCCTCCTGCCTGCTCTTGGCAGCACGTTTCTCTACCAGAAGGTCACCTGCTGTGGGGGCCATGCTCATCTCCTTCTACAACAGCTTCTCCGTTTATGCCTTCCCTGTCATCTCTACAATTTGGGCTTTGGCAATCCATGGCCCAAGAAGAACTGTTGGGTCCAGCAGTGAGTTTGTAGCCCAATTTGGTCGTTCCCCACAGGCTGCCTGCAGCTCAAGGGCTACAGAGATTGGGATGCCAATGGGGCCACCATATGGGCAAAGGCCCAGGTCAGTGTGAATTGGGTGCTCGTGGGTCGATAGGGGAGAGGGGGAGCAACACCCAGCATCACCCCAACTGCCCTGACTCCATCCTCTCCATATTCCTGCACACCTCCTCATCCTCCTCTTGTTTTTCCTCCATCTCCCAATCCTCCTTGGAGCACTTTTCCCCCTGTCTTTCCCCACTGCTGAGACAGAAGGTCTTCCTGGATTTCCATATGTCACTCACCTGCAGGCTGGGAACACAGGTCTGCCCAGGAATGACAGGAGACCTTCCCACAGCCCCGTGCTCTTGACCACACTTGGCTGGCTCTTTGTTGGCCTTCCTCATACACCAGCCCACAATGTAGCCCACACTTCCACACATGCACCAAGGCACTAAAACAGCAGCCATGGCGGGGTCACCAGAACCCGCTTCCACCACTGTGCCGTTAGCAGACACACAGGGGACACAATGTGAGCCAGGACCTGGTGAATGGCTCACAGTCAGTGCAAGGGGAAGTGGGCAGATGTGAGGATGTTCAGACTTGGAAACTTCCACATGAAGAGAAGACATGCAAATTTCAGTTCAAGGGGTGGAAAAAAAAGAATGCCTATTCTTGATATTTTGCTGCTTTTTGTCCCATCCTCTGTGTTCACAATTGTGGATGAGACATCATTGCTTGAGATCCCCAGCAGTGACCAACGTGCTGCCACAATGCTCATCCTCATGGCTCTGACTGCAACTCTGTCATCTGTCCAAGACCCCCTTGCAGTGCCAGGATCACAAGATCAGAAGATACCTGGGGAAAGGAGGGACCTCAGGAGGGCAGGCAGTCCAACCACCTGCTCAGAGAGCTTTGTGCTTCATGTCACTCAATACCCATGATCATATCATGGCTTTGAGAGGAAACAGTTGTGCCTATCTTATCTGTTTCCAGTAACCCCCTCCTCTATCTGTGCACAGGGGCATGGCCAGCAGCCCTGTACATGCCGTGTTTGTCTCTCCATTTCCCTGCACCTCCACATGTGACCACGAACAAGCCAATAAAAGGAGGGGATACCAGGCATTAGGGTTTTGCAGAGGATTTGGAAGAGCTTCTGCAAGACACCCCTGGCAATTCCATGGATCTGAAGTGGGTTTGGGAATGTGTTGTGTTCGTTGCTGGTGGGACACCAGAGGAAGCTCAGTAGGATGTGCTCTACGAGACACACTCAGCAAACTGCTGAATCACTTGTAACACACTCAGCAAACTGCCCAAAGGATCCAAGGGCACTGCTGTGGGAGATTCAAGCAGCCCACACGGAGATGCCCTGATGTTTGGGGGAAGAGGGAAAGGAGAGGGAAGGATCAAGAAAAACCAGGTGTCAACATTGCGATGCAAGACAGCTTTTATTGTAGTTCCATGGGAGGAGGGAGTTGGGAGAAGAGCAGAGTGGTGGCCAGGGTCTTCCCCTGTCTCCCGGCAGTGGGCAGAGCTACAGTGAGCATCAGCCGTGCTGCAGGAGTAGGCACCAAGTGTGGGTCTCTGTCATGAGGAGGCAACGAGTCTTGAAGGGATGCTCAAGTGGGGAAAGAGGAAGGCAGCGCTTGGCCCCAGGCAGGTACGAAGTGTCCAAGGTCAGGAGCCCAGCAGTGCCAAAGGGATGTCCTTCTTTCAGGTGCCATGTCGGGATGTGCCAGGGGCTTTTCCGGACGTCTCCCTCATCTGATGCCTGATGCAGTGTGGGGTTTAGCAGGGCCCGCAGTTGCCACTGAGGTACCTGTGGCCACGGCGCCCGCCGC